AAAGTCCCATAAGTCATCGCCGTAGGAAGGTCTTTCGAAGTGCGCCAATGGGGGACCAGAGAAGCTGCTGGATTTTAGCAGTTTAAAGAGATTAACTCAATTATTTCTGCACAAAATTGTCAGACATTCTTATTAAGATAATACTTGTCATAATGGTTATTTTAATTTCGAACACCAGTTGGAGGGGATCAGTCTTCTAAACAACTAAGGAATTGCACTGTTTGTTTGCTTACAAAGAATATACCCAAAAGTTGAGGAGTGGGGGGCAGAAGTTGGGTCCGCCCCCTCCATTCTAGGGTGGGGGCGGTCGTCTCCCCCCCCATTTTCTTATGCCTATGTAAGGAAGTGGAAGCAGGATTGCAGGAGGCCAAAGATCGCGTCCAAAAGGATTCGCCGCTGTTTGGGCCTCTTCCCGCCCGCCAAAACGCATGAAAGCAGAATATGTTTCGTTGAAGGCAATTATATAATAATATATATATATATATATATATATATATATATATATATATGTGTGTGTGTGTGTGTGTGTGTGTGTGTGTGTGTGTGTGTGTGTGTGTGTGTGTGTGTGTGTGTGTGTGTGTGTGTTCAAAAGATACCTATTTGAAGAGCATTGAAATTCTCTCTCCTACTCGCCCTTCCTCCCGCCAATACGAGAAAGAAACCGCGATGTCGCAGGGAAGAGGGATGGAAGAGCAAGCCGAAGAGGAAATGGAAGGGAAGGAAAGAAGAGGAGAGGAGAAGAAGAAGGAGGAGGAGGAAGAGGAGAAGTAGAAGAAGAAGAAGGGGGAGAGAGGAGATAAAGAATGAGGAGGAGGAGGAGGAGAGGAGGAGGAATAGGGAGGGAGTGCAGGATAGGGAGCTGTGGAAGAAGGAGGAGGACGAGGAAGAAAGAGGAGGAGTAATAGACAGGCGAAGGAAGAGAAGAAGGAAATTAAAAAGTGTGAACAACGAAACAAGAGGAAGAGGAGGAAAGTGTAGAGAAAAGAAAAGAAAAACAGCAAGAGGAGATAGAAGAAGAAGCAAGGAGGAGAAGGAGGTAGAAGAAGAGAAGAAATAGAGAAGGAGAAAGAAGAAGCAGGGGAGAAGGAGCAGAAGAGAAGGAGAAAGACGAAGAAGCAGAGGAGGAGAAAGAAGAGAAGAAAAAATAAAGAAGAAGAAAGAAGAAGCAGAAGAGAAGAAGAAATAGAGAAAGGAATAAAAAAAAGAAGAGGAGGAGAAAAAGAGAAAGAGAGAGAGAGAGAGAAGGTCATAAATCTCGCAAATACCTTTCTCCCTCCAACCCCCCAACACCCACCACCCCACCCCTCCACTCACTCTCCGTAATACCATGTCACCGCCGCCCTCACCTCGCGGGCACCACCTTCCCTCCTGCTCCGTCGCCTGAGGGGGGTTCGTCCGACTTCCCGCCGCCGCGCCCGTCCCTGCCAGAGCGCCCTCGGGATCCTCCTGACGCGGACCTCATTGCGCTAGACATCCTTACGCGATGGGCGGTCGTAAATCAAGGGAGGAAGATCGTCTGAAATAGGCGCGGTAATGGCGGAAGATGGGGGGGGGGCAGGGTTGGAGAGAGGTGGTGGGAGGGGAGGGGGTGATGGGGAGGGTTGGGGAGGGAGGGGAGGGAGAGGGTGGGAGGGGGGAGGAGGGAGAAGGGTGGGAGAGGAAGGGAGGGGTGGGGGGGGAAAGGGCGAAGGGCACGAGAGAGAAAGAAGGGGAGGAGAGAGGGGGGGGAGGAGGGTTGGAGAGAGGTGGAGGGGAGGAGGGGAGGGAGGGGGAAGGGCGAAGGCACGAGAGAGAAAGAGAGGGAGGAGGGGAGGGGTGGAAGAGATGGAGGCAAAAGGGATGGTGAAGGACTAAGGGCAGGGAGGAAGGGGACTGAGGAAGGGAAGGGGGGAAGGCCAAGGGCATAGGGCAAGGGAGAGAAAGAGATGGTAGGAGTAGAGAGAGAGAGAGAGAGAGAGAGAGCAGATGTCGGGGTAAGGGGGGTGGGAGGGAGGAGAAAGGAGAGGAAGAGGGGAAAGGAGAGGAGGAGAAAGGCAATTGAAAGAAGATAGAAAGGCGTAGGAAAGAGAGAGAAATGGGGAGAGCGAGAGGCAGAGAGATAAAGGGGGGGGGGGAGGAGGAGGAAGGAGACGGGAGGGAGTCGGTGAGAGATGAAAGAAGA